ATCTGACATTAGCATGGGTGTTGGTGTGGCGCTTTTGACTGTTGCTGGCAGCTCGCTCTTCTCTTCAGTCAGCGTAAATTAAGCTAGCTGGGTACTGTGGTCCACCTCAGTACATGTGGGTTTTTATGATTTTTTTTTTTCTTCTGTGCACCCTAGCTAACAGTCCTCATTGATGGCTGAATAAAGTCTGGGGTTTAAAAGACTAGCTAGCTGTCTATATAGCCAAGACATTTAAACCCATTCAACCACTCACCCACCCCTTGGCTACCTGCTATTGGTTAGCTTGACCATAACGCCCATTTAGTTTCCAGGGGTATATTCATTCCGCCAATGCTGTTGCAAAACGTTTCTTAAACGTAACGAAACGAGGAGAGGCCTACATGACATTGTCCAATAGAAACTCACGTTTGTTGCAAAACGGAAATGTTTGTATTAATGATTACACCCCTGGTTAATGTTTGGATTTAACGTGTGCTATTCGTAATACCCAACGTCAATCAATGTACACACACACCGGTTCAGCTATTGGTTGATGGTGGTAGAGGATTAGTGCAAAGGGTTTATCATAAGACAGCCGGCACTGTGAAACACAAATTGTGATATTTTTAGAGTAATTATAACATGCCACTGTTATTCATTCTACATAAAACATTTTCACACTTCTGGTATTCATTATGCAATGAAGAGATCCTTAGGATTCGTAAAGTCTCTGGTTACCAGGTTAGCATTCTGTGTGTGTCCACCGACCCAAATTGATTTTCAATTAGGTACAGACCATAAACACAAGATGCACTACTATTGCACAGTAAACATTGCCAGCTATAAAGATATTTTTGCAAATGTGTAACTAACCGTTGAGATATTAAAACTTGACAGAATACAGCTACGAGGTAAAATACTGTCTTTCCATATTCTTGGTAGAATTGTCAAACACTTGCTTTCATTGCACAGTACAAGTATACAGTGCATTCATAAAGTATTCAGACCCCTTGACTTTATCCACATTGTTATGTTACAGCCTTATTCTAAATTGGATTTGTAAAAATATATATCCATCAATCTACACACAATAAAGCAAAAACAGGTTTAGACATTTCTGCTAATTTATTCCAAATAAAAAACTGAAATATCACATTTACATAAGTATTCAGACCCTTTACTCAGTACTTTGTTGAAGCACCTTTGGCAGTGATTACAGCCTCAAGTCTTCTTGGGTATGACGCTACAAGCTTGGCACACCTGTATTTGGGGAGTTCCTCCCATTCTTCTCTGCAGATCCTCTCAAGCTCTGTCAGGTTGGATGGGGAGCGTCGCTGCACAGCTATTTTCAGGTCTCTCCAGAGATGTTCAATCAGGTTCAAGTCTGGGCTCTGGTTGGGCCATTCAAGGATATTCAGAGACTTGTCCTGAAGCCACTCCTGCATTGTCTTGGCTGTGTGCTTAGGGTCGTTGTCCTGTTGGAAGGTGAACCTTCGCCCCAGTCTGAGGTCCTGAGTGCTCTGGAGAAGGTTTTCATCAAGGACCTCTCTGTGCTTTGCTCCGTTCATCTTTCCCTCGATCCTGACTAGTCTCCTAGTCCCTGCCGCTGAAAAACATCCCCACAGCATGATGCTGCCGCCACAATGCTTTACCGTTGGGATGGTGCCAGGTTTCCTCCAGACGTGACGCTTGGCATTCAGGCCAAAGTGTTCAATCTTGGTTTCATCAGTCTGAGTCCTTTGGGTGCCTTTTGGCAAACTTCAAGCGGGCTGTCATGTGCCTTTTATTGAGGAGTGGCTTCCGTCTGGCCACTACCATAAAGGCTTGATTGGTGGAGTGCTGTAGAGATCGTTGTCCTTCTGGAAGATTATCCCATCTCCACAGACGAACTCTGGAGCTCTGTGAGAGTGACCATCGGGTTTCTGACCAAGGCCCTTCTCCCCCGATTGCTCAGTTTGGCCAGGCGGCCAGCTCTAAGAGTCTTGGTGGTTCCAAACTTCTTCCATTTAAGAATGTGTTCTTGGGGACCTTCAATGCTGCAGAACTTTTTTGGTACCCTTACCCAGATCTGTGCCTCGACACAATCCTGTCTCGGCGCTCTACGGACAATTCCTTCGACCTCATAGCTTGGTTTTTTACTCTGACGTGCACTGTCAACTGTGGGACCTTATATGGACAGGTGTGTGCCTTTCCAAATCATGTCCAATCAATTTAATTTACCACAGGTGGACTCCAATCAAGTTGTAGAAACATCAAGGATGATCAATGGCAACAGGATGCACCTGAGCTCAATTTTGAGTCTCATAGCAAAGGGTCTAAATGCTTATGTAAATAAAGTTTTTTATTTTATTTGTAATAAATGTGCAAAAATGTCTAAAAACCTGTTTTCGCTTTGTCATTATGGGGTATTGTGTGTAGATTGATGAGGAAAAACATGTATTTAATCAATTTTAGAATTAGGCTGTAACATAACAAAATGTGAAAAACATCAAGGGGTCTGAATACTTTCAGAACGCACTGTAAATGAAAAGGCAGGAGTCTTGGTATAGAAACACTGGTCAAAGAGTTTAATTAGCAATGGAATGCATAATCTCTCATTCTCCCCCAAACAACTTACAACTTTAAAGGGCAGGGGAAAGAACATGACAGCTGAACTGACAAAGTCTTCAAAGAAATTTGACAAAGATCATGAACAGAAAGAAAATAACATTCATGACAGTAAGAAGCAAACTGGGTAATGCGAGGGGGAAACCGAAATATTGATGACAACATGAAAGGTTGTCGAGTTAAATATGCAATATGGCACGATCTGATGCATAGGGCAGCGACAACACATCAGACCGTGCCTTCCATCACATACACACAAGTTAGGTACAAAACCACAAGCAGCAGACTCTCAAATAACTTGGGATTCACCCTTCCACAGGTAACATATTTTCAAAATAGTTGTTCAGAGCAGGTTTGAAGTTAATTGCCACTTTTGCCCCTACTTTGTACTTATTTTGTCAAAACAAACCAGTAAAAAATAGTAATGCCTTACACCTTTGCGCATAAGTGAAATGTACATTAACTCATTACATGATTGTTAAAATGGCATAATTCATCATTTCTAACGAGACTGTGGTGGTGCTGAACAGAAAGACCAGGGGCATATTCATTACGGAAACCATTTAACGTTTAAGAACCAAAACACAAGTTGTTCTGTTTGCATCCGTTTAAGAAAAACATTTTGCAACAGAATCTGCATAATGAACATGCCCCTGCTCAAGCGTAAGAAAATGTTACAACATTTTGTAATGTCAGGACATAATGGAAAAATGCATGCAGCACCGCACAGGGGGTCCTTGGACAACCATGTTTTCTATACCCAAACGGTCAACTTTGCAGCCAACTAATGAGTTTGTAAGCATGCATTTAAGTCTGGGTACATGCTTAAATAGAAATGTAACAATTTCAAAGAAACATTAAGAATGCTAAAAACATATACCAAACATGCGCATACACGCAGAAGTACATTAGGGTCTATTTTATTGTTAAAATCCTGTCACCTCCCATCATGGTAATCCTAGGCACTTCTAAAAAGATAGCAAATATCTACAACCATAAATTGGCCATGTAATAAACAAACAAAAAAATGCAAGCAGAGTAGCACAAAAACATTCCCAAAGAAACAAAGCATGCATTTCTCTCTCCGTATATATTTTAGCTTGAAAATATTGTTCACATTATTTATTTTTTTATTCACCATTTTACTATATGTATGTTTATCTGTATATGTAAATCTTTTATTTTATTTGAGGAAAAACAGAAAATGTCAAAGAAAACAGCTTAAGAGAGGAACAATGAAAGGAAACGCTGAGCTTTATGCAGCTGAGCCTGAATCAAGCACAATGGACAGAGGGGGAAAGCAAAGAAACGCAAAGTAAAAAAAACAAGAGGACAGTCGAGTGTTGACAGTGAGAGTGCTGCCCACTGTTTGGTCTTGTGGTGAAGGGTTCTTTTGGGTTTCCGGTTTTATTTTGCTGTCATCATCTGCACAAATTCTGAAAGACAAGATTGGAACCAACATTTGGAGGAGGCATACATTACACTGGCAAATGGTTCTCCATTCTTTACATTCTGTAAGATACCACTTGTGTCTTAGCTGAAGTGATCGACACACTGCACATGAGAGGAACCAGAAGAACAGCTGAATTTGGCCTAATGTCTCTAAAATATCAAGCATGCAAGAAATGCAATACCCAAGAGGAATTGTGGAATTGGGCCTGACCATATTTGACAGTGAATTATTTATTTTTTTTATACACATTTGGGAGCCATCTCCACAACCACGAGTTAACAGAATCTAAACTGCGACTTGAGGTGCAAGTTGTTGAAGGGATCACAAAGAATTGTGGAATAATGCCATGGTTAATTTTTCATCAGAGCTATATTCTGTTATCCATGCCTCGGGTGGTAGTTGAGAGCAAGGCTGAGGGCACTTAGATATCTTGATGTGATGATCAAATGTATTTCTGCACTCAGCTGCATGCCCTTCATTACGCTCTTCAATGTTGAACCTTTTCATTAGCATAGCATGTCCCAACAGTTTGCTCCATCTGCGCACACAGTTCATAATATGGAGCCATTCTCCAAACATTTACATTTGATTATTGCAGTGACATTTGTCAATAGTTGCCTTTAAAAAAACATTTAACAGAATAAATTACACAAAACTGACACTAGGAAATATAAGTAGCAGAGCAAAGAGGATGTGATGGTCAAAATAATGTTCCTTTTTACAGTAACAAGTGACTCAGCCACTCCATCTTGACCAAACAGAGGAATGAGAACAACGTTGTCTAACTGCAGCATTAATACCTAAAACAACCTGTTTTATATATTGCTATGACGACAACAAAACAAGGCAAGCTAGAATGCATGTTGTTGAATGGATTTAATCTGGTTTGACAGCATTCGTTTAGTACTTTTCTTGGCTTGTGAATGGACAATTAAATTGTCTGACTGATATGCAATGTTGTTCAGGTTAACGTAAGTGTAAGAGAGAGAAGATGGGGAAACTGACCTTCGTAGTTGACCTGTCCATCTCCATCAATATCAGCCTCCCGGATCATCTCATCCACCTCCTCGTCTGTCAGTTTCTCACCGAGGTTTGTCATAACGTGACGCAGCTCTGCAGCACTGATATAGCCGTTACCGTCCTGCAACAAGAAATCAATTCATTTTTTTGGTTTGCATTTAGTGTTAACTAACATGCAGATCTTATTACTGAGTGATTCCTGAATATGAAATGTCAAATAATTATGAATTTTGTCAACTCTGGAGAGGTTTGAGACATATCTTTTGGGAGTGATGAAACCCATTGGTTAATATTTGCACTACTATGACTGGTAAGAAATTCGAAAATATTATATTCCTCTGATTAGCTGACCTTGTCGAAGACTCTGAAGGCTTCTCTGATCTCCTCCTCACTGTCGGTGTCCTTCATCTTCCTCGCCATCATGGTCAGGAACTCAGGGAAGTCAATGGTTCCATTTCCTGTGGATGACAAAGATAAATGCTGTCACAGGAGGAAAACTGTTTTTCTTACAATGTTGGTATTTCAGCCCAATCAGATAATGCTTTGTGTGTTAATCTGTGAGGGAGAGATGGAGAGCATTTGTGACCCGTTTCAGGCAACTTGGCACATGTAGCAAGTCACGACTTCACAGGAGAGCCATTTGAAAGTTTTTTTTGTTGTTGTTTTTTGGCAGAAATGCCTTCTGGAACGTGAACTTTCTTGTGCCTTAATAAAAAACTTGTATGCCATCTGTAAGTACGAATAAAATTGTTAAATTACGAGCCTTGTTGGTTAAGCCACAGAAAAAGACAGCAACCTTCCCACTAGCCATGATTGGCTGAGATAATGAGTGGGGGGGGGGCAATGCAAATAGTCTGGGTAGCCATGATTAGCTGTTCAGGAGTCTTATGGCTTGGGGGTAGAAGCTGTTAAGAAGCCTTTTGGACCTAGACTTGGCGCTCCGGTACCGCTTGCCGTGCGGTAGCAGAGAGAACAGTCTGACTAGGGTGCCTGGAGTCTTTGACAATTTTTAGGGCTTTCCTCTGACACCGCCTGGTATAGAGGTCCTGGATGGCAGGAAGCTTGGCCCCAGTGATGTACTGGGTCATACGCATTACCCTCTGTAGTGCCTTGCGGTCAGAGGTTGAGCAGTCCACCACATTACCCCCTGTAGTCCACAATCATCTCCTTTGTCTTGATCAAGTTGAGGGAGAGGTTGTTATCCTGGCACCACACGGCCAGGTCTCTGACCTCCTCCCTATAGTCTGTCTCATCATTGTCGGTGATCAGGCCTACTACTGTTGTGTCGTCAGCAAACTTAATGATGGTGTTTGAGTCGTGCCTGGCCATGCAGTCATAGGTGAACAGGGAGTACAGGAGGGGACTGAGCACGCACCCCTGAGGGGCCCCCGTGTTGAGGATCAGCGTGGCAGATGTGTTGTTACCTACCCTTACCACCTGGGGGTGGCCCGTCAGGAAGTCCAGGATCCAGTTGCAGAGGGAGGTGTTTAGTCCCAGGGTCCTTAGCTTAGTGATGAGCTTTGAGGGCACTATGGTGTTGAACGCTGAGCTGTAGTCAATGAATAGCATTCTCACGTAGGTGTTCCTCTTGTCCAGGTGGGAAAGGGCAGTGTGGAGTGCAATAGAGATTGCATCATCTGTGGATCTGTTGGGGCGGTATGCAAACTGGAGTGAGTCTAGGGTTTCTGGGATAATGGTGTTGATGTGAGCCATGACCAGCCTTTCAAAGCACTTCATGGCTACAGACGTGAGTGCTACGGGTCGGTAGTGATTTAGGCAGGTTATCTTAGTGTTCTTGGGTACAGGGACTATGGTGGTCTGCTTGAAACATGTTGGTATTAGACTCAGTCAGGGACATGTTGAAAATGTCAGTGAAGACACTTGCCAGTTGGTCAGCGCATGCTCGGAGTACAGGTCCTGGTAATCCGTCTGGCCCTGCAGCCTTGTGAATGTTGACCTGCTTAAAAGTCTTACTCACATCGGCTACAGAGAGCTTGATCACATAGTCTTCCGGAACAGCTGATGCTCTCATGCATGCTTCAGTGTTGCTTGCCTCAAGCGAGCATAGAAGTGATTTAGCTCATCTGGTAGGCTTGTGTCACTGGGCAGCTCGCGGCTGTGCTTCCCTTTGTAGTCTGTAATAGTTTTGAAGCCCTGCCACATCCGACGAGCGTCAGAGCCGGTGTAGTACGATTCAATCTTAGTCCTGTATTGACTCTTTGCCTGTTTGATGGTTTGTCGGAGGGCATAGCGGGATTTCTTATAAGCGTCCGGGTTAGAGTCCCGCTCCTTGAAAGCAGAAGCTCTACCCTTTAGCTCTGTGCGGATGTTGCCTGTAATCCATGGCTTCTGGTTGCGGTCACTGTGGGGACGACGTCGTCGATGCACTTATTGATGAAGCCAGTGACTGATGTGGTGTACTCCTCAATGCTATCGGAAGAATCCCGGAACATATTCCAGTCTGTGCTAGCAAAACAGTCCTGTAGCTTAGCATCTGCATCATCTGACCACTTCCTTATTAACCGAGTCACTGGTGCTTCCTGCTTTAGTTTTTCAGGAGGATAAAATTATGGTCAGATTTGTTGTTTACCTAGCTAGGTTCATAGTTTACCTAGCTAGCTACATGTCTTAAGCTAAAGTGTACAACACCCGTTGAATATTGCCGGTGTCAGTAAACGTCGGCAAAAAGGTTTAATGAAATTGTTGCCAGCGGAGCTGGTTAGGCTGTTTTCATGTTATCCAGAGGTAAACAAATCATCGGCCAGAGCATCAAGTTCGCTCTGAATGCTCAGAGCGAAACGAGATGGGTGGGGCTAAAGCTTAAGAGGGTGTGAATGATGCTTAAATGGGTGTAGTCAAAGAAGAGCTCTTCACTAGATACCAAAACATTAAAAATGCAATTTTCTCAAAAGTGAGTTTACAAGTTTATCAACTTTCAAAGCAGAATTACTTTCCCCATTGTTCCTCAAAAATGCAGTGTATGATATACAATTTTGTAGCTCTGAGTCTGTACTTTTATCCAATGTAAAAAACAGCATTTCAAATTTTGCTACATAAAACCAAATCCAGGTGGTGAGTCACATTTGTGCTAGTGGTTGAGTCGCTCACCATCAGCATCCACCTCATTTATCATGTCCTGCAGCTCGGCCTCTGTGGGGTTCTGTCCCAACGAGCGCATGACGGTGCCCAGCTCTTTGGTGGTGATGGTGCCATCTCCATCCTTATCGAACAGCGAGAACGCTTCTTTGAACTCTGGATGAACAAATGTAGAAGGTCACTCCACATCCATAATGTTGACTGAAACATCTGTAAACTCCTTGGTAATGTTTAAGCAAATATAGCCATCTTACCAGCGATTTGTTCCTCTGTCAGTTGATCTGCCTGAAAGCAAAAAACACAATCGTGAATGACACCTTTTGATTTTTGGATTCTCCCTTCTTTGCACTTGAAGAAACTTTAACTAATTTCTTTCAAATGCCACCTACAATATTCTAACCCAATAGTTCATTCCCATATTATATCCTAGGCTGCCTAAAAATTACCCAGGAAAAAGGATAAGTAACTAGCGTTAGTTACTTGTGATGTAGAACACATGGCTATCTATACGTCCATATTCAGTTGCAACATCGTATTATTAGCTAGCTAGCGTGCTAGCAAGTGATGTTCTGTCTAAAATTAGTCAGTCTTGCACCATATTTGCCGCAATGTTTGATCAGGCTGCCGCACAGTGCTCTAGAAAGCAACACATTGGATCAGGGGATATCCCACTGGATCTCAAATTAGCCACACAAATATATACTAGTAACGTTGCTTCACCAAGTTCGGAACACATTGAAGAAGCTAGTTTACAACACTTTGAGGAACCCAACTAATTGTTAAATAGACACACTGCTAACCGACAAACTGCAGATGATACGTTAATGTCTAGAAGGGATTCAGCTTTTGTAAAATTAACGTCAAAAGCATAAAAAGAAAAAACGAATTTGAGCTAACTAACCGTTTTCCTAACCTTAATCTTATTATCCTAACCTGCTACGTTCATTTTCCAAACCTCCTGCGTAAATTCTCCTAATTTGCTAAGAGAAGTCACATCTGCTGTTAATTTGACAAAAGCTGGATACTTTCTAGCCATGACCAGCGCTCAGGTCCAGCTAGCTAGCGTTAGCTACCTGGCTAGCGCATCATACTCGAGGATTGATAGGCTAGCCAAACTAGTTAACGTTAATTAACTACACAACTAGTTAGCTAGTGACTGTACAGGTAGTTAACTAGCGTGGCTAACTATCGAATGTTAATGTGGAACAAAGACGACAGTGACACCAAGCCAAGGTGGATAGTTTTGACAAACAGCCATACTAACTTTAGCTAACCAGCTAGCTAGCTAGTTTCCTCGTAGCGGAACTGGCTGTCTATGACGGACACAACTAACGTTAACCTTATTTGACGCAGATCTCTAGCTACCTACCACATTGATAATACATGTAATTAACGTTACTGTATCTCGTTAGCCATCATCATAATGTGAGTAACCAACAGTCTGCTGTGCTGGCTGTGGTTAGCTAACTAACTAATCAATCGCCCAGTTAGAAAGCAACATAGCCAACAAATTAGCTAGCCAGGTAGTGTAGCTTGTTAGCTAGATTGCTCTAATACTGTATGGCTGCACACATGACATGCATTTGTTTAGCCAATTCTATTAATCCAACGTGTATTTAATAAAAAATGTACAGCAAATGGAACTTACCATTTTGTTATGTTGCTAACGAGCTAGTTATGTTGATTTGATCTTGCTATCTACTGTACCTAACGAATTTGTAGATATGATAATCAAATTTTCCACAGTCCTACGCGCCTTTGCCGCTTCAAGTTGTGTATCACTCCGCTTTGGTTTAGATTTTAAACGGGACACTGCACTCCCTAGCAACTACGCTGTCATTATGGTCTCCGCGCACCGAATATACATTTTTAAAGACAGAGTGGCACAAATTTGATTTATCTGCAACGTGGACTATTCTCTATTTTGTCCTTCACTAAAAAGTTGCGTTTTAAAGTATCCAATCGTGGACAACTTTCGTATTTGAAAACGAACTACACAATGCTCTGAATAATGCACATTCTCTATTTCCTTTGGAAATGTAAATTCGCTTATGTCTTTGTTTGAATGAGCTACTCGGGGACTTTATAAATAGAGAGCAACGGCGCACATCAGCTGACCCGGTAAACCTGACTAGATTGGTTTTCAGCCACCTGCAATGCGTCATGGAGGGTTTCCACTAGTTACCACAGCATAACAATTCATGAAAACAAAAACGTGCTTTTTGGTCTTAATTTAAGGTTAGGCATAAGGTTAGGTTTAAAATGACATGATAAATTATAGAAATAGGCGGGGTTTATGACTGTGGCAACGAGTGATGACCAGAAGTCTTCCCAGGGAGTGGAGAGGCTGTTCCAATCTTAAAGGGATAGTTCGGGATTTTGTCAATGAAGCCCTTTAGTCAGATTAATTTGTGGATTTTTGCTATAGTAGAAGGGCCCTGTTTAGGCATGGACTACCTGTAGGCTCTATACAGTGCATGTCTAGACTAGAGAACAGTGAGAATGCTCGAGAGAACAATTTGAGATCTTGCAAGTTTTGAAGTCCAACTCATTAACACATTAGAACAGATTAATTTAGAGCCAGTGTGACCCCAATTAAGAAAAATAGTTTGAGGTAGACAAATGAAGAGCTAGAAACCCCTTTACAATTCCTGGAAAGAAGGTTTTGGTATTTTATTAGGATCCCCATTAGCTGTTTGTGAAAGCAGCAGCTACTCTTCCTGGGGTCCATACAAAACATGACATAATACAGAACATTAGACAAGAACAGAACTACATCAAGGTTGACAGTTAAGCACCCTCAGGACTACCTGACACACAAAATCAGACCAGAAGAAAAAGCCTTCTCAGAAATAATCATTTATTAAAGATTCCATCGTTTCTTTCAGCATCAAGGTCTTCTCATCGCTCTGCTGAAATTTGTGTGCAGCAGGTCTGGTGTCAGTGATAATATTCCGTTTTCATCCTCCCCCCCTTTCTATCACTCATCCTTACATGACAACTACAACCATTATCATGAGATCTGTGTAGTGGTTAGATCAGGCATCCTTTCAAAAGCATATCATGCTTTTCAGTATTCTACCAGTCTGCACCATTACAACCCAAGATTCTCTCTCAGAGGCCATTGTTGTGAACCCAAACATATAGTAAGGGGTAGTTTGACATGTCTGAATGAGTGTGTGATACAAGAGGTTAAGTAGTTTATACACAAACGCCACTAATAGTATATAGTGTAGGGTTTTGTGACCTTGTGAATAGTGTCAAGCAGCTAAATTTAGAACCATTACACGAAAAGTGCAAAGGATAACCTTTTCCCCTTTCTGATGGAAATCAAGTAGGCCAATGGCAGTGGAATGGCGTGAACGTCACTATTATTTGTGCCCGCCCCCCACGTCATCCTAGGCTGATCAAATAGATGGTCCCAGCTAATTAACAAGTCTGTTTATTATCCATTAACACTCGAATGCATACATTTTGTTCAGTACTCGATCACTAGGTCTTAACCAACTTCTGTGGGTGCATACAGCAGCAGTCACTGTGTCCGTCTATAGCAGCGTCTCTCCCAGTGTCGGTAGATAAATGTTTAAGAAGTGTTATAATAGTCAGGTGAGACAGAGCTCCCTGCGTGCACTATGGATAGGTCTAAATCAAGGCCTGTGAGGGACACCTGATGCCAGGAAGAGACGTTCAAGTGCAGAATGGAGAGGGCTAGCTTTAATGTTTAACCTAGGGTTTAGATTTCACCACATCATTGGTAGCACATGCTAGCCAAAATAAAACAGACTAGTAAAGGTTGTATTCAGTTTTAGATCATGCCAATTTAATTTAGGAGGAAAGAAATTCAGCCCCTCCACCTTTGTGTTTTACAACTTCTGCTGCAAAAGCAATCATAACATCAGATAATTCTTGAAACGTGAGAAACATTTTGAAAACAATTACAACATTTCAGTAAGGGGCCAACCATGCCCCGAAAAGAAACAACTTTAAAAATAAATTTTAAAAAAAAAAGGCCAATAAAATACATTTAAAAGTATCAATTCAATCATGGCATTTAATGGTCTGGAATGTATTTTCAGTAACAGCAAGATAGACCGATAGTTGAAGGGTTGACTGGTGCTTGCGATGAGCAGACAGGTGTTTGTATGTCTGACCAACACCGCATACTAGAATACCAGACTAATTCACAGCAGTTTCTATGTTCTAGGAGGAGTTCAAGTAAAATCTATTGATGAGTGCATGCTAAAATTCTATGACCATTTGAATGATAGTGACTATTTTTCAGACTTAAAAAACAGGATGCCCTAAAAAAAAAAAAAAATACAAAAAATTGACAACTACTTTATCAATGCCCACACAGATGGTGCTGGGATCTCTCCCCTTTCTAGGATATGTAGGGGAACTGTAGCAGGACAGCCTGGCCTGGCCCTAGCTCCAGCGCAGAGAGCTCAACAGTACTGTCGGGGGCCAGGTTGACCTTGTCTGTGCTCACCTGAACCACAGCCTTACCAGGCAGGTTAGGGTGGGCCAGCTGAATGGTCACCACGTCGCTGCCCCAGTTGAAGGCAGCGATGTAGCGCCCACTCTGGTCCCACTGGCGGAGGTAAGCCAGGGCAGAGGTGGAGTTGAAGAGGGGAATGTAGTCCCCATGCTGCAGGGAACGCTCTTTTCCACGTAGTTCACTCAGCGTCTTGAAGAAGGAACGGCAGGAGAGCCTCTGTTCTTTCTCCTCCTGAGGGTGGCAGGAATTAAATATTTTAATTGCTTTGCCTTTCCAACAGTTTTATGAATATTTTCATTATCATCCAATTTACCTTAGCAGTTCCATTTGTATCCTCATCGTCGGCGGGATCCCACAGCATCTTAGGGGACTTTGTATCCTGTTATACAAAGACAATCAAGACATTAGATATCCAGAAAAATCAAGACCTTTTATTTAAAAAAAAAGTGTGAATCTCCAAGGCTAAAGCTGTTATTTGTTTTATGATACATTAGTTATTGAAACCCCCTGCTCACCGCATCAGCCAGGGCGATCTCATCCCCATAGTTGAACACTGGGGTTCCGGGCAGTGTGAGCAGGAGCATCTGGTTGAAGTTCACCATGTCTGGGCCCACCAGTGTGGCCAGGTGACCCTTCTTCCTGTCCCCAATGTTCCAGGCCAGCTGGGTCTGGTTGTGAGAGGAGAGCAGCTGCTGGACAGTCTGAGCACGATCCGTAGCGGTCATGCTCTTAGACCTGAGGGCCCCGGATAGGAGTAGGTCCACCCCAGTGGAGTTCAGCAGTTCAGAGACTTCAACAGCAGAGGTCTTCTCAGTCACTCCAATCAGAAGTCTGAGCAAAAATACACAAATAACATTTACTTGAGGAAAGGAATTCTATCTACAAAAGTCACATAAGTCTAATGTACCCACTGTAATAGAATCAAGATACAGTATCAGCTCTCTTTTCAGCAGCAGTCAGTGTAGTTTATGCCACTAGAGGGCACAAGTTAGCCAATAGCCATTTTGTGGATGATGAAAATGTGATGAAACAATACCATCACTAAACCGCTAGGTGGCTCCCATGCATAACAATCTACTGAGATTCCTAGTTATGTTCTAAATCAAATCTAATTTTATTGGTCACATACACATATTTAGCAGATGTTATTGCGGGTGTAGCGAAACGCTTGTATTCCTAGCTCCAACAGTGCAGTAGTATCTAAGGGAGTGATGTGTATATAATGGTGGACATTTGCTCACCTTCTCTTTCCCTCAGTCCCATTCTGTACAATGGCTCGAATGTCAGCCCAAAGAGACGGAACCACACTGGCCACACGCTCAACACCAGACAACTGGATCCCATCCACACCTTGGTTCAGCCAGAACACCAGGGCAGACTGGGGAGGAAAGAGGGTTCACACATTAGATTGATGAACTCAAGTGGATTTAATGGGTTCACTGAGAAGAGACGCTCAATTCTTACCTTGAGTCTCTCAGCAACGTTTGTGACACTAACATTAGAGAACCATGGTCCGCTTCCCAGATAATTGGGAGTCAGATCCAGGATCACATTGATGCCTGTCAGACGGAAGAGAGTTAGTCCATCTGTACACCACTGCCTAACCAATGAACAGTTTCAAGAGAAAAATTTAAAGGACATCATATAAATTAAAAGACACTATAAAAAGAGGGGCTATACTCACTCTTCTTGTGCGCAGCTGTAATGAGGCCTTTGAACTGTTCCAGATTGCCAGCGTCAGAGGAGATCGCCTCAAAGTTCAGGCTCACAAGGTTGTCTAAGGGTGCAACATGGATGGGCCCAATGACCAGACCCTTCACCTTCAGCTGGCTCAGACGGTCAATCTTGTTCTCCACACCTGTTACACAGTAGAAAACTGCTGACTAAAAGTGGACATACATCGGTGTTGTTCTTTATTGAAGGCACAACATCTGGATAAAACAAATGTTATCCTTTGAAATCTTATTTTGTTAGACATCTGTTCACTTTCATCAGTGTCAATATTTTATTTTCTATAAAGCCCTATCAAGTGAATAGTAATCGCCCACTGGCATTGTAGCTGTGCTCACACAAACAAAAACAAGTTGTTTCAGACATTCATCATGTAGCCCAGTTCCTGGAGTGTGACTAAAGGTGTTTGCGTGCTTCCCAGCCAAAACAGTTCGGAAGAGTTTGTGCATATATTATGACGAAATTGTGACGATTTGGACGTCTGTAAGGGTTTTTTCGGCCAGCCCAAGTTTGGGAGCCCAAGTCTACGCCCCTTCATCTGTGATTAGTCAACTGCAGGGATTCTTCAATAAGTATGTAGTCATTCAATGAGAACTCATTTTTCATGCACATTTTTTCATTGAGAAATACTGCAACAAACATCTTAGTTAGATGGAAAATTGCGCAACTAACCTCTCCTTGGCAAAAATGTCAGTGAATGACATTTGAGTCATCTTAGATTAATTCTGACTTTTGAGGAAGTGTATACTGGCTACGGCGTCACAAATAAGACAAATTGTACTATTCAAGCTAAGGTCTTTTACGGGAGTATGCGAGCACACTCGTTCGGGTCGCCTAGCTGACTTCGGCTAGCCGAACTGAAGCATGCAGACACCTTAATACCCCCAAACAAGAAACCTGCCAAACCAATCAGTTTAGGGTGTAGGAGGGAGGATTCTGCTGGTTCAGCAGGATGCTTAAAAGAGCCGCCCCCCCCCCCCTCCATCCCCTGGAGCGGAGTCAAGGAAGTGGTAAACATGTTTACGTGCAATAAATGTGACCTCAATTCTGAGAATCCTATGGCGTACACTTGGAAGCTAAAGCAGACGCATTTTAAAATCTCATGTCTCGTCACATGCACTGTTGCTCCCTGTAATCAACACTGGTCAGACCCCTCAACAGACACTACCACCCGAAACCCACTTTCAGAGTCTCCAGAATTTCTCATTCAAGCTGTTTACACAGGCAGCCCACTTCTGATAATTTGCCACTAATTGGTCTTTTGACCAATCAGCTCTTTCACCAATAATTGGGCAAAATATCAGGCTTGGGCTGCCTTTGGAACTGCAGCCTCAGTGACCCAACCCAATCGCAAATTGTAGCCTATGTGGTTCAATGTATTCAAACTACTTCATATGAACTGTCTGACCGACTAGTGAGTTTTACATGAGGTGAAACCTATAGTGGGTTTCATCACAAATCTTAGTCATCACCCCTTTCAGGGGGTCTTACCCTTTAGATTCTGTGACTCGCTGAAAGCTTGCACATCTCCAATTTGGTACAGAGGTCCATAATTCCACCAGTTCATGGCAGGAAGGTCTTTGCAGCGAGGTGCTTGAACAATGATGGCCACAGCTCCAGCCAGCATCCCCAGCCAGCCCAGCCAGAACAGAATCAGAAGGGCCCATCGTGTCCGGACCCACCTTTAGGTGATGGAGGGAGAGAGATTATTTAGTAAGGCAATATTATACCCTAAATGTTGACATTGCAAACATCCGTTAACCTTATTTTTTTATAAGCTAAAGTCTATTGCATATATCTTAATAGTTCTTACCCTGGTGTTCCAGCGACTCTGAGGAGTTCATCTTTGGATAGACCGGTAAATTTAGTCTCCGTCTCCTCGGGGATTTTCACTTTAACGCTGCCGTTCTTCTCCGTGCCATTAGGAGAACCAGCATCCCCGTTCCCTGCCCCGCCCGTCATCGGCTGCTTCTCCTGGTCCATATCATTGAGCTCCACGTCCTTCATGTCTACTTCGGTGTCCTTACTCATTGTGACGTTGGTTGAGTTTAGATTTTCTTTATAAAAATAAAAGATTAGTCAATTGGAATTGCTACCGGGAACAGTCTTTAAAGGAGAGTTGAGACTGACTGATCTACAAATCACCTTACATCCTAAATAACTACTCAACATTATTTGTATATCAGTCAGTCACAATTTACCCATGACACATCACGGTTTTGACGCTCTCGAACACAGCCTGTCACGTGACACGCACATGCGCAAACGATGGTCTAATACAATGGCAATTTGAAGAAGCGTTGCATCACCTTTTAATGTCAAAGAAAGCCCAAGCGAGCAAATATGTAAATTACAATATGTTATAGTCTATAATAGTGTTACATTTGACAGAAATAGGCTAAAATATCTGGCCTCTGAGCCAGGGCGGCGAAAGGGGTTACATTCCCATCTCTTGTTCAAATGTTCAAGCAATTGCCACCTATGCAACAATTTCATTAGATAATGAATGTAAGTAACATCTTCATTCAATGGTTAAATATTTACAGCATACAACATTATTGGATACATTGTAGCCTATGGCAAGTTTGTAGGCCTAATCTAGCGTGCGTTAGACAGGATTGGTCCAGTTTTTTTCTAATGAAGGCACCAGACTAAGTCACACGCCAAACTGAAAACAGAAAAGGTAACATACCATAAAATGTTTTCTAAATTGCCACTAGATTAGTTAACAAATGTAACGACACTATATTTCAGTGATTTAGTGGGCTACAAACAGTTGAAATAGGGACCGAACAAACCAATGATTACATACAGTATCTGTGTAGGCTATGCCTAATGAAAACACCTGCAATTCAAGAGATATTTACCTATATTCACCTGCATTAACATAATAAGCAATCCATTATTACCTGTTGAAGATAACTGGTCGAGTAAATAGTTTAACTCCCCATCAGGTTAGCCTTGTTGCTGAGGAAAATAGTTTATCCACAGCCGCCGTAATGCGCTCTTTATATAGCAGTGTAGACGCCAGTAGCCTCACAACCGCCCAATTTTAAGGAAGGGCCAACGTCACAACTCGCAGATTGATAAATTATTATCAGTGTGATCAAGTTAACACAAATTCGATAACTTTGTCAGTGTGAGTGTACTCTATTGAGAGTTAAAGTCGACTTACATTTCATGGGTTGGAAATTCAAATATTTGCGTTTGATAAAGAAAGTCCACCTTAAGCGGTCCGCCATCTGCCAGACATGCATCACGCTCATGTTTTCATGAGTTGGCAAGAAATGTCACAAACAACTAGTGGGAAATAGATATATCTGTGCTCTAGTCTATAAAAACAGAGGATATGACTTACAAATAGGGAATAATATTATAGGCAGAGTGAACTCCTCTATAATAAAACTCATTCTATTTCTGTGATATTGTCTGGTTATGATTTCCATCCATCCTGCTAGAACATCTGAAAAAGACCGAAATGATCGTTTCTAGAAAAGATAAGATTGTGTTCCAAAGTAGATATTGCCAATTTGATATACTGTACCAAAAGTCTAAATCATCCGAGTAAATAGCCCACAACCTTTGACCTAGAAAATGTATTTCCTAAATTGCTGCAAAAATCCCCTGTGTTTGTAACCCCTCTTTGGTTTTTGGACTCCAGACTCTTTGGACTTGTTTGTTATTCTCAAGAAAATTCATGGAATATTTCTTCATATTGATTCGCATCCACCAATCAATGCAATGACTATAATACCTTAAAAACAATCTTGATTACAACATCTATTTTTAAGACAAAGAAGAGATGAATAAAACACCACTTGAATTAATTATAGGCCTATGAATGGAAATTATACCATTAATGATCAAGTTACTGCATATCTTTCTATGTTGACACAGTTCTGTCCAATCTACAAGACACATTTTCATTTTGTAATCCCTCACCGACTCTGCAGTGATAGAGTAATGTCTTGTTACATCCCAAGATTACAGAAGTCACCACTATTTAGCACAAATGTCCGCTGATAATGCAGTGAAACTGTTGTAGGCAGAGGTTGTATGTAGCCTTTGACCTATTTTCATTTGCAGTATGGTAGAGTATAGCCATGGGGAATTCTAGATTAAAATCAAAACAACCTCAGACATGATCAGACATGATGATCACTAACAGATCGGTCTTGGATCATAACTATATACAGGCTATATACAAGGAGTACAGGTACCGAGTCATTGTACTGAGGTATGAGGTAGTTACATTTACATTTACGTCATTTAGCAGACGCTCTTATCCAGAGCGACTTACAAATAGGTGCATTAACCCTATAGCCAGTGGGATAACCACTTTAGTTGGGGTGATTTGATTGAGGTAATATGTACATGTAGGTTTGGTTAGGTGATTGATCAAAGTACTATGTACATTTTTACATTTAATGTCATTTAGCAGACGCTCTTATCCAGAGCGACTTACAGGAGCAATTAGGGTTAAGTGCCTTGCTTAAGGGCACATCGACAGATTTTTCACCTAGTGTAGGTAGGGGGTGAAAAGCAGAAAGTCTGTGGTAGCTGTTTAATTAACTGTTCAGCAGTCTTATGGCTTTGGGGTAGAAAGTGTTCAGGAGCCTTTTGGTCCCTTTGGATCAATGCCAACTGTGTTATAAACCCCTATATATTCCTGATCCCATAACAACACTAATGTTGCATACTAGTTGAAGGTTAGAGTTAGAGGTGGGCTGATCAAGGACTATCATTAACTATGTAAAAACCTTTCAAACAGTGCTTTGTGACTGAAGATTTTGCCTAAAATACAGTTACTAGTGGTAACTGAAGATAACAGAGCCATAGGCTCATGCTTTTGGAATGGGAGGGCTGCAAGAAAACGTGCGCCCCACACGGTCCATGAAATATGGTGGAATGATGGTGGAATGTGTTGAAGAATTGAAAAGGGGGCACATACAGTATATATAGTGTGTGTTTTTAAGTCATCAGCCAGGTCACCGTACTTGCTTTAGTGCATTTAAAATGTCCGCCAAGCCACAGTCTTTAGATTATAGGCCTAGTTCCACATACAGTACAGGAAAACACTCAACAAATTACAGTCCCTCCATAAACCCATGTCCCTCCCTCTGGAGGGCAGAGACTGAGGGGTGTCCGGTATCATGTAAACGCAGCGGAGCTGAGCACATTGTGTCCTAAGGCCCTCTCTGAAAAACACGCGCTGTAGAATGGAAGATCAACATGTTTTATTGAAGAGGTCTAAGAGAGGGGTGGGCCTGGCCTACAATCTTCTACACAAGAGTTGCGATTAATGAACACAGTAGAGAACAATGGAAGTATGATCGATGTTCTGATCCTATGATCAAAGTCCTTCATCAAAGGACTATGCTGATTGGTCAGATCATTAATTGCATTTAATGGAAGTACACTGTGATCAACTCAAGAGCAGTGTTAAAAGCTTTGGATTAAGTAAAATGCTTCTCTGTTAAGCTAAAATCTTTTTTTCAGTCAGCTTAATCTGCATTTATCCAGCTTGACACGACTGCGAAAGGTTACAGAATGCACAAATTCAAAAACAACAGCAAAACCCCACTGAACCAAACATTTAAAAAACATTTACTTATCTGATTCAAGCAGATTGCTCAACCTGGTGAATCATTGGTTTGATATTACAGGCAGACACACATCTATCTGGCTTTAAGCCACAGACGTTTCCCGTCTGCCCATTTAATAACTTTTTACCTCCTGTTATTTGTTTCTTTTATTATTGTGCTGCACAGCGGATATTAAATGTCTGAGACATCCACCTCCAGGTCACTCCGGTTCAGGCTACATTGTGTAAAACAGAACATTTGTATGAAGTCAAGGTGTGTTTATACAATTTTTAAAGAAGAATAAAAAAAATTGGGTGTAGATCAGCTGTAATATTTCAGATAGATTGTAACTTCCATCAATGTAATAGTCTGCATCACTTCCAATCCCCCATATGTTTTTTTTCTCTCGCAAAAATAAATAAATATATGTATATATATATACAGCTCTGGAAAAAAGTAAGAGACCACTGCAAAATTATCAGTTTCTCTGGTTTTACTATTTATAGGTATGTGTTTCGGTAAAAATAATATTTTTGTTTTATTCTATAAACTACTGACAACATTTCTCCCAAATTCCAAATAAAAATATTGTCACTTAGAGCATTTATTTGCAGAAAATGACAACTGGTCAAAATAACAAAAAAGATGCAGTGTTGTCAGACCTCGAATAATGCAAAGAAAATAAGTTCATGTTCATTTTTAAACAACACAATACTAATGTTTTAACTTAGAAAGAGTTCAGAAATCAATATTTGGTGGAATAACCCTGATTTTCAATCACAGCTTTCATGCGTCTTGGCATGCTCTCCACCAGTCTTTCACATTGATGTTGGGTGACTTTATGCCACTCCTGGTGCAAACATTCAAGCAGCTCAGCTTTGTTTGATGGCTTGTGACCATCCATCTTCCTCTTGATCACATTCCAGAAGTTTTCAATGGGGTTCTGGTCTGGAGATTGGGCTGGCCATGACAGGGTCTTGATCTGGTGGTCCTCCATCCACACCTTGATTGACCTGGCTGTGTGGCATGGCGCATTGTCCTGCTGGAAAAAACAATCCTCAGAGTTGGGGAACAATGTCAGAGCAAAAGGAAGCAAGTTTTCTTCCAGGACAACCTTGTACGTGGCTTGATTCATGCGTCCTTCACAAAGACAAATCTGCCCGATTCCAACCTTGCTGAAGCACCCCCAGATCATCACCGATCCTCCACCAAATTTCACAGTGGGTGTAAGACACTGTGGCTTGTAGGCCTCTCCAGGTCTCCGTCTAACCATTAGACGACAGGTGTTGGGCAAATCTGAAAACTGGACTCATCAGAGAAGATTACCTTACTCCAGTCCTCTACGGTCCAATCCTTATGGTCTTTTGCAAACCTCAGCCTGGCTCTTCTTTGCTTCTCATTGATGAAGGGCTTTTTTCTAGCTTTGCACGACTTCAGCCCTGCCCCTAGGAGCCTGTTTCGAACCGTCCTCTCCGTGCACTTCACCCCAGCTGCCGTTTGCCATTCTTTTTGTAGGTCACTTGATGTCATCCTACGGTTGTTGAGTGACATTTTAATGAGTTGGCGGTCATCCCGGTCAGTAGAGAGTCGTTTTCGCCCTCTGCCGGTTTTGTTGTCCCCAATGTCTGCTGCTTGACCTTGTTCTTATGAACTGCCTTCTTTGAAATTTTAAGGATGGAAGCAACCTGACGCTCACTGTATCCCTCTGCCAGTAAAGCCAGAATTGAACCCTTCTTTTCCTCACTCAAAACTTTCCTTTTCAACTCTTTTGGTATGGTCAATAGTTATTTTTTGATTAATATTACTTTTGAAGTACTATTAGCACTGTTTTTGCCATCCAGCTGGTCCTATTGCAAGAGGATAGTGATGACTACAGCAGTGGTTTTTATACTTTTCCTCGTTAAATAAGATTTGGTTCAGGTGATCACCTAATCACTACCTAATTCAGTAGAATGAGGTGTGCCTGTGTTGGAATTCAACAAACACTGGAATGGAATGGCTGTCATACATGTAGAGATGCTGATTTAAGAAAAATGTGCAGTGGTCTCTTAATTTTTTCTGGAGCTATATATATACAGTGCTATGAAAAAGTATTTGCCCCCTTTCTAATTTTCTCTACTTTTGCATATTTGTGATACGGAATGTTATCAGATCTTCAACCAAAACCTAATATTAGATAAAGGGAACATAAGTCAACAAATAACACAACAATTACATATTTATTTCATTTATTTCATAAACAAAGTTATGCAACACCCAATTCCCCTGTGTGAAAAAGTAATTGCCCCCTTACACTCAATAACTGGTTGTGCCACCTTTAGTTGCAATGACTCCAACCAAATGCTTCCTGTAGTTGTTGATCAGTCTCTCACATCGCTGTGGAGGAATTTTGGCCCACTCTTCCATGCAGAACTGCTTTAACTCAGTGACGTGTGGGTTTTCAAGCATGAACTGCTCGTTTCAAGTCCTGCCACAACATCTCAATTGGGATTAGGTCTGGACTTT